TTGGCCATATAGTGCACCCATCTATCTATCTATCTATCTATCTATCTATCTATCTATCTATCTATCTGAATAAAAATTCTGCACTAAGTGCTGAGTGGTGTAAGCAGCGAAAGCCCTGAGGGCTCGACAAAGAGAGTGTCACTCTTATAGCTCCAGACAGGCCTGGCTGTCCAGAGATCAGGCAAACTCGGACAGACTATTAGTTGAATGTGTGTGTGTGTGAGAGTGAGAGTGAGCAAGAGAGCATGTGAGCGAACTGTCGTATGATTGTGAGAGGAACAAGAGTGATTTTGTATGGGAGCGAGAGCCTGTATGTATGAACAAGATAATGAGCAGGCAGCCTACATGCCGCTCAGCAGGGGAAAAAACTGAAGAAATGAACATGCATGCCACTGCCCTGTCAGAGGGGCCATAAGAGTGTTCCCTCCATGAGGCAAACCCCTCAAGATAGATACATTTCTGCAGGAATTTCTGACACGACCTCTGACCTGACCTGGGGTTAACAACGGCAATTATTCAGCCAGACACCCACCATTGTAGCAGAGGCTCTTGAACAGGGCCTGTTTAAGCTGTGACATAATACGGACACCTGAGAAGAGTGTTATCAAAACCAAACAATAACTGTTGTTAACCCCGATTGAGATTCAGGCAAAAACTCACTTTGTAAAGTTACCTTTGTGTGGATCCCTCTGGATGATAACATGCACTCTGCAGACATTTTGCACTTGTGTGTGTACTACATGGATCACTGCATCCAGTTTAATTAGAATATGAGCTCAAAGCTGGTGGGACTGAAGTGGACATATCAACTCAGTTATGCATGCAATTAAATGGCTGGTCCCATGGGAATTCAGTCTCAAGTGTTCTGGTAGATATTCAGGGATGCAGAAGCTCCACTTGTTATTCTTCCTCGTGCACATTTTTTAGTGTCTAGATAATCTTTTCTTTGTCTTTGTTTTAAGTCAGCAGCAAGAGCAGCAAACTGAAACTAAGGCACAAACAAAAAGAGCGACTGAATTATATGTGGCATGCATTGAAATGCAGATGCAACAGCAAGTAATTAATCTTAATTCTTTAAAATGACAAAACAATCACTGGTTCAAGCTTCTCAGATGGGCTGTTTTATGTTTCATATCACTGTAAATTTAATATATTTGACTTTTGGACTGTTGGTCAGACAAAACACGAAATTTTCTTGGGCTTTGGGAAAACATGATGGGTGTTTCTTTCCCTATATTTTGACATTTTATGGGGGCAAACATTAATAGAGCACAATAGAGAAAGGTCTGCAATAAATACTTTAATTCTCAGAGTGCAGACCTTTCTCATTTGTGTCCCGCAGTGAGATATTTTATTGAAACATTAACCCTAGTTGAATTACAGATGAATAAATGTGCTGGAAGCAGTGAGCTGCAGATACAACCATGACAAGCATGAACTGTTTGACAGCTGACCTCCAGATCAGATCAGAGCTAATATGTGCTCTGTGTTTGTGTTGCTGTTAAATCTGGATTTTGAACAGAGAGGGTTTTAACTTTTAATCGACCATGAACTCAATGTCCCCATCACACACACACTCGCACGCACAGATTTCATTCACATGTGGCTTTTCATGGCACCACTTACTTGGTCCGTGGAGCTGCGGGGACTCCAGAGCAAGCGACTCAATGGACCTGACCCGGCTCTGCTGGGGCTGTGTTGGTTTGGTGGCATGGCTCTGCTCGGCACGGTAACACCCGCCCCCCGGTGCAGCGGCGTTCCGCTCCAAACCCCGCCCGGACCTCTCGAAGCCCGCGCCGTACGGGGCCGGTCCACACACGGGGTACCCGGTCCCATCCTCCGGCCTGGCCCGGCTCTGCAGGGAGGACGCCCGGTGCTGCTGGGTGTTGGTCACGTTGCTCGGCCCCAGCGGACGCACCTTGTTCTCAACCCGAGTCCCCACGCTGCATGTGGACAGCGGGGCGGGTTTGTGGAGCTGCTTCGCTGCCTGCTGCGGGTGTACGGCAGCCTGGGCCTTGAAGTGGGAGCTGTTCTCCGGGTTGAGCATGGAGTACCGCAGCCCCGCAACGAACCGCTCAAAGGTGAGGCAGCCATGCGGTGGGGTGACCCTCCTGAGGCAGCCCAGCACTCCGCCGGGGAGTTCCCGGGTGTCTGCGCCCTGCCAGCGGCTCTCTATCTCCGAGATGTGGACATAACCCCGTCCAGCATCATCCAAAATGTCAAACAGGGTCCTCAGGCTGTGGAGGAAGGCTTTGGGGAGGCCATCTGTGGAATACTCCGTCTCTTTCGGCTGCATTCTGGTCGTTTTAAAGCCCTCCGCTTTGCCCTGAAACACGTCTTTTCTCGGCCCAACTCTGCCGCAAATCGCCGACGTCCCGTTCAGTTTGCAGCCCTGCTCGGTCGCTATCAAAGCCATGAATGTTACCGATAATCTCCACCGACTAATCAATCAAAAAAAAAAAAAAAACACACACCAACACAAAAAGTTGGATAAAACTTTGTATGAACACACAGCGGAGCATACAGAATAATACCGAGCAACAACCGCTTACAGAACAGCAAAACACGCGTCCTTATTATAACGATTTTTACCCTGAAATATTCCCGATATTTTACCGTTTTGAGTGTCCACCGTCCCACCGAAACTCCGCCGCTATGGTCCCAAACTTTCCTTTTTTTTTGGCGAGGACCGCCCTTCAAACGGCGTCCCGGGACCAGCCATTGGCCGCGGTGTGCAAGAGCTCTGCGCTGATTGGTGCGAGCCTGAGGTAGACTCCAGTTTGAGTTGTGCTTTTGTTATTACTAATGCTGAGACGTTATTCATAAAGCCTGGATATTACACACCCCCCTCTCCACATAATCAGAAAGAGCTGAGCAAACTATCACTTTACACACACACACACACAGAATACTTTTGTTTCATATAATTTAATAAAAACCTCAAACCTTTTAGTCTATATGTGATTATAATGAGTAAACATTCATCCATTTATGTTTGTTTATGCATCTCAAAATGCAAATATAACCCCTTTGTCTGAATAACACTGAATTAATGATTAAACTTAACCCATATACAGGGGTAATAAAAGACACACATAAAGTAACACAGTCTATAATGTGTCTGTAGTAAAAGGCATATTATTTAGACAATAGAACAAGAAGGTCCATATATGTAGAATTTGTAGAAGAGTTATTATGTTATTGTTTCCACTTCTTGTATTGTGTATCTGCTTGATCCAGCTATTCATTTATATGTCAGGTACAATGAGTAGCCTTTACAGTTTTTATGGACACACAATGACATATAATGGACAATTGTGCAGCCTGTGCAATATTTTATGCTCTTCCTTGATTTGAATATCTTATAATCTCTTCAAATTTAAGATAAATAACCTTGATTTTATGCTGATTTGTACCGAATTCAAATCAAAGCTTAAAAACAATTATTGTTGTATTCACACTTTACACAATAGCCCTAACACCCAAGGCTACTATCAAGTAACAACAATCACAGCAAATAATCCTATCACAACAGGGTGTTAACTGAGTTTCTTCCTCCCTCAAAAGACCCCTTTCATCATTCATCAGCTTTGATATTACGTAATGTGATGTATGTCAAGGTTTACTCTCAGTCAGGCTGGAAAGCTGCACCCAAGTTGAATCAAACTTTCACCATTTCTGGCACTTTCAGAGACACTTGTTCTTTAGCGATGAGTCAGAGACTCTCAGTCCCTGCACAGACCCAATGTTTATCCCTGACCTGCTCAGACTCGTACAAAAGCTTAGCGATTAATGTTGAAGATACTGTCACACTGTCACACAAAGGGCTCCCTGTAATTTACTGACAGCCTGATGCATGCAGTTATTTTTCCTGTCAGACCAGATATTGACTCACATATTTTCCCCATTATGTTTTCCAAATGCACTGCACATTTTTCTTTATGAAAACAGAGGCCGAAAGAGAGGACACACAATCAATAGATCCCCTAAAAACAAACATGACATTCAATGACACACCAGTTGTTCTTGTTAACACATTCATTTGTGGGAATAGCTTTAGGCCAGATAGAAGGGTCAACTAGATCAATGTCTGATTACCCAATAATAGTGTTTCAGAGATTTAGATCAGGAGTGGTTTGCTTTTTCCACTGTAAGGGCTGATAAGAAATCATGTTAACTGTGTTTATTTTTTTGGACTTGTATTTCAGGCTGGATTGTTATATAACCAAAGAAATACAGAAAGTGAAGGAAAAGAAGAGGAAGAGACACACGCTGTCCAGTCGCAGCTCGGCTCACTGAGATCACTTGACTCACAGGGTCAGACAAATGAGCCCTCAATCCTGCTCTCCTCATCTCTCCGTTCTCATGTTGTCACGCACATGTCACTGCTGCCACAAAAAACTGCTCACACACTCACACAAACACGCTCTTTAGGCTTTATAACCCATGCCGGTGGTTGCCAAGCATGCCAAAAGGCCAATCCACAACGCTGTTTGTTTTAGTTATTGGTCATGTACTGATCCTCCCCTAGCCAGTCAGTCCTCTCATGTAACACACTTACACACACACACACACACACACACACACACACAGTCTACTCCTCATTATCTCCTGTTTGCTCTCTCTCTCTGTTTCTCTAAGTCTTTTTCCTTCAGCAGCATCAGTGTGCATGTGACAAAAGGATTTGAGAGCTTATTCAATTCACGAAGCCTTTATTTTTGGGATGGAGAGAGACGGTGAAAGAGAATTCAAGACCGTCAAATCTTGGAGGTGTTAAATCAGATTTGAATTACAGTGGGAGGACGAGAGCGAGAGGGAAACAAGAGTGGGGGTGGATTCAGATTAAACCAAAGCCAAAATCTTCCCTTGTTCAGATTGCTTTTACTATGAGGATCACCAAGATCCTGACGGTTTTTTCTTTTTTACAAACACTGTAAAAATGTTTCCCACTGCGCTTGTGTGAGCTTCTGTTTTCAGCTCTCAGAATTACTTATGGACTTTCTTTGGTTTGTTCTCCGTGAATTAAGGAGCCTGGACTTTGGTCGCTTCATTCACTCGAGGTGTTAAAGCATGCTTGAAAGACTCTATTGTTTCAATGGCCTGCACTGTGTGGTGCAGAATTTATGTTGCTAACACCTTATTGTACAAACTCGTTCAGCTATGCACATAGTCACAGTGTGAATTGTTGAACATTATCACATTTTTCTTAAGTGGACTTGTGTACCAACACAAATGATTCTGCATCAACTGAGCCTAAATGGTATTAGAGATTTACATTTATTCAAAAATTTAAATTTAAACATTTACATCCATTTAGAGCCGTTTTCAGCGCTTTTGCAGGGGCACCACCGGCAGATTTCGGGGTCTGCACAGGGATTTCAAAGGAGCTTGGCTTCTACTCAACAAAATGAAATAACATACAATTGATAACATCTGTCTGTGTGGAGGCGACATGATATGGAAATGGCAGGTTTCAATTCAAAAGGCTAGTACCTTTGAATCTGGGTACTTGCCTAACCAGGATCAGCAGATGTGCCACATATTAGTATTAAATCGGTTTATAGTATTATTTATCTCTGGTTTGTGTATACAATTGAGGCTTTACCATATAGAATATAACAAGGCTTAATCTATATACTGTATATAGAAGTGTAAAGTATGGACCTAATTGTTTCAGTTTTTAGCAGTTCAGACTTTCTGGGGGGTTTATCATTACTTTTCCACTTCAGAGTGTCTTTATGTTTCTTTTTTGTGTGATTTAGTTACCAGAACAATACAATCTATCATTGTATTTTCAATTGTGTGTTTATGCTTTCTTAGTAAAAAAACAATGTAGCCAGAGAAGGCATCCAGTATATTATTGGACATGTCATGTATGTAATGTCCGTTTAAAGGTCCAGTGTGTAACATTTAGGAGGATCTATTGACAGAAACGGAATATAATAAGGGGGAGAGTGAAGCGAGGAAGTTGGAGTCTGCAATAGATTACTAAATCCTACACACTGGTCCTTTAAAGTAGTGACGACCCTCATTTTAATCTGGGAAATGGTGATGATATAACAATGATTTTGAGATATTTCTGCAACTTTGACTTTTTTTTTAATATCTGAATTTAGTATGGTGTTTTGTGTTTGAGGTGGGCATAGGATCCACTCTGACAGCTGCACAGTGCCACTTCTCTTTAATGGTGCATTGTCCTATATCCCCCTCTCTGTTTTTAAAAACACAAACATGTGGGCGTCTGTGTCTGTGGATGATGGGTGGAGGGACTCTATATATCAGCATAATTGCACACTTTTGTCCAAAGCAACAATAACTGCACTCAAACTTGTTAGGTACAGTACTGTATAGGATGGCCTTTTTTCAGTATTTATTGTATTATATACTTTTTAACATTTAATTTCAATAATAAAAAATCTACAACAAAGAGTGGGTTTGAGAATGTTTTTACAGCTCAATAAAGCAAGACAATCAGTAAAATCCTTCATTTATAAGCAGGATGGAGGAAGATATTAAATCTTTTCTCAGCTCGTGTTTTCATGTTTGCCTAAATCAAGTGGTAAACACTGAATTTGCAATGACTTCTATATTTATTTTCATCTTCCTAATAAATTAGCACCTAACCTCATGGAATTGATTTTTTTAAGCACAGATGCCAAATTGATATAAATCCAATCCGGATTAATATTTAGTCATCCTGATATGTGGCAGGGTTAATTACAGCATCACTGAACTGAGGACGGATGAATGAACATGCAGTGGCTTAAGGCAGCAACCGTGAACGATTTCATGTGGATTACATTGCTGCCCTGAGTATTTTATTAAATAGTAGAGTATTTATTTATAGAAAAGGATGAATCGTTCCACTATGAGTTGTCCTCTGTAGTCCAAGGCATATATGATTAAAATCACCAATGTGTATTTTAGATCATACGCTTGAAAACAGTAAAACCGGTCATTTACTGGTTTGGTTGAGCCACCAGTGACTACAAGATAGAGCTCTGCAAATCCCATGAGGTATACGATGACAACTAGTGGCTGGTTGTGGCAATGCAGTGTTAATTCTGTTGCATGTCAAACAAATGCATCCAAATAATAATACCGGATCACAAGCTTAGCATGGGATTCCTCCTAAAGAACTCAAACTAATTCCTGACCTCTGATTCGGGAAACTCATCTTGTTTATCCACACAGTAATGCTGTTATGAAATTCAAAAGCTCTACAAATTCTGAGAAAAAAAAGACACTTCATTCATATGGTGTATTGAGAAGAAAATAGAAATAAAGGAGGAAAAATAACACTGGGATGTAAAAATACAGTATGTACTATCTCACACCCAGCTTATCTGAATTATTATGAATGAATATATTCTGAAAACATGTATTTATATACAGTAGATACACAAATCTGTTTAAAACTATGTTCATTCCATCACATCTCCATATTTTGTCTTCTCGGGTCCTTTTGATTCCTCTGGTTTAGGTACTGAAAGACAAACAGAGACAGGTAAACATACAGCATAAAAGTCTGCAAACTGTCTTCATTTGGTTCATCATGACTGACAAATGTCACACTGTGTCTTCTCCTACTGATCTAACCAGAAAAACACATTTACATTTCATAATTTGTGGGAAAGTGAGGGATCGTGAGCAGGTCTTTACCCACACACTGCACTGACCTTGTGGTGGCGATCTGTCAGGGACTTTGCCTGTTTCTAGCAGCAACCAAAGGTCTGAGCATTTCTGTGTTTCCCAGCGAGTCACTGCATAACTTCCCACTGATGAGGCCACTGAGAAAGAAGAGAGAGGCAAGGTTAGAGGAAGTATGGGTGGCTACAGAGCAAATGATTGCTGATGTCTTGTGTGTTATTGCTCATTTAAAGCTCACGTTTCATTTATCACCTATTGAAATTAGTAGATTCCACTGGAGAGGATAAGGAAGCTTCCTCTGGAGACCCTTCTGAAGGGCAAATAAACCGGCAGCGCCTGTAAAATCAACATCTCAGTGGCACATCTTGCAGTCATGATGAACATTCAAATATCCATAACACTCACTCTCACTTCTACACCACAAGTCCTTTTTAGCACCTCCTCTTGCACCTACACTTTTTTTTTTGAGCAACTGGTTTTCTAGTTGCTACTTATAAAGAGAGAGGCTGGGCAGAGATGTTCAGGTCCGATCTTGCAGTCTCTACCCTACTAATTTCTGGTGTATCAAAAGACACTAAATCACAAGCAGAGAGTTGCAATCCTCTTTTCATCTGCTGATTTCCAATAACCTTGCACCTGCATGTCATGTATACACTTCTTCTAAGGTATAAACTATATCAAAGGAAACTAATGTTGAGTTTTTTTCTGGGAGAAATGGTTTTAAATCTATTCAGAGCTTGCACAAGTTCAGATTAGAGAAAAGCAAGCATTTCTATTTCTTAATCTTCTTCTTCAAATGTCAGTATGCTGAATATATAAATACCTGTTAAGATCATGCAATATATCAATCTGTCAACTGTCTTTATCTGTCTTTCTCTGACTTTATTGTCAGCCATTTTCAGTGGCAGTACTTTCTGAAATCATTTACAATGAATGTATATAAAGTTTATATTATTATAGGAACTATTATGATTATACAACAGGGTGCAGAACACCCTGCTGTACTGATACAAGACACATTTGCAGAATATAGCTCCCTCCTGTGGAATACAATGGTCAGAGTAATGTTTCATCTGCATTTATGTTGGCCCTCTTACTTCTTAGTGTTTTTCTATAGACAAGTAGGGATTTCCCTCTATAGTCCAATCATATAATTTGTTAATAAAGATGACAATACACTGTGGTTTGTAGTGATTCACACATCACTTACCAAGAATAAAGGTCCCAGTTCCCTTCATGAAGGCGTGAGACTGACAGGCAGTATAACTCCCTAAACCCTGAAAGAGAGAGCAGCTTTCACTTCACGATTCACCCTTTTAAAACACGTATATGCCATTTCCCAGGACATCCCAGAGGTTTTCAGTGTGTCCAGCAGACAGTTCCTTCGACTGGCAGTGTCCTCCAGAGAGATCAGTGCACAGATGAGAACAAACAGACAAACAAAAGCTCACCGGATGTTTTGCTGCCAGCGCATCGTCCACTTTGGTGAGACCGATGTTCACCATTTTATTGGCTGTTGTGAAGCTGTAAGTTAAAGTCTTAGATTAAATATACCATTAGCTCGTGCTGAGGGTGTGTACATAACACTGCTGTTATAAAACCTCCGCACTGCAAACCAAGACACACAGAAGAAGAGAGGAACAGCTGTTTGTTTAAAACACTGGCGACACCTGGTGGAGAGGAGGTGGTACTGCAGCTTCTCGCACAGGCACAGGCAATAAAACACACAAACATCATACATTAAAGGATAAAAAGACAGATTTTATACTGCTACTACTTTAATAAAAAATAGATTTTTGTCATATTTGCTGAAACTTCCACTGTATCCTGACACAAGTCAACTTTCAAACATCAAACATGCAAAAACTAAAATTCTTCGATAGCTGCTTTTTTTAATTATACAGTGTATGGTAACCATATATATGTATGTATATATGTATATGTATATATATGCTGTGTCCACAGCCTATGACAAACCAGTACATTCTGCTATCTACAAATGTATTGGCTAATTATGTCATGTGAAATGCTTTGCATGTCCTGACAGTAGTACATGAGACAGATAATCTGTGGGAAAAAAAATCTCCAGTTGTAAAAATGTGTACATATAACACACCGAATAAAAAAGTGTTTCAATATTTCGTCAACTAAAATAAAACTAGCTAGGCTAACTATGGACTCCAAATCCCCAAACAGAAAAGTCTCAGACGAAAGTAGAGAATTTAATAGTGCATGGACAGATTTGAAGAAAGATTGGCGATTGAACAATCAACAAGCTTCAATCCACAACACCTTGGTATTTGACAGCCTGGGAATGAGACTCAACAATCAACTATCTTTCTTTGCTCTGATTGGTTGTTTTCACTCAGCCACATTGGATTCTTGCTGCCATTATGAGCACCAGGACGAGCCAGAGGAACCTGATTTTTTCTGTCTAATGTACTGCTGTCAGGATATAGTAAAGGTTTCAGGAAATATGACTATAATATAAGTTATTTTTATAAACGTTACATATTGCAGCTTTAAATTAAGCCATCACAGTAACCTGTCTTTGTGTCTGTTACATGCCATGTGTGACCTCAGGCCTGCCACAACAGCACAGCCTGCTGACCTCCGACCTCTGTCAACCCCTCTGCTGAACCTTGACACTAGAGAAAGCTCAATGAGGCGAGGGGTTCTGCTGAAGGCTGGAGAAGAGCGGGAAGGAGAAGAAGACGAGGGCAGATGGAGAGAATCCAACTACTGCTGAGACACAAGTAACAACACAGAGGCTTAAGTTACCAGACAGCTACGGCAGAGCAGCTGGACATCTGTTTGTTACATGGGAGAAAGAAGAAAGAACAGAGACAGAAGTTAAAGAAAGGCTTGTTTTAAAATGATGACCATGTTGACACATTTTTTAATTATTAATTCAATTCATTTAACAATAAAATGACCAGTTCAATTTAAACAGACATCTGAGTAAATATAGAAACAAATATATAAAGGAAAAAAATACAATAAAAAGAATCAGATAAACAAATAAAAGAATATAAATCAAGCCTTGGGTCAACATAGATGAATATAAAGTTACATAAGGGAAAGCATTGAATTAGTCTCACAGTTTAACTTTAGGGTTATTTTCTCAGAGATCAATTAGAAAATGACAAGATACAAGATAAAACAGTTGAGTTAATGGGTATGTACACATTTCCTCACACTGCTGAAATCCATAAAGATCTAACTGGGTGACATCAACGAGACTTCTTTAACCTCATTGGTCAAAAATATGTTTTGTGGAAGAGTCCAAACTTTTTTCCAGCATAAATTGTTTACACTAATATTCCAGCCCTCCTGACCTGACTTTTGGTAAGAATTGTCCACCAGGAACCCTGAGGTGGGACTGGCCAATTTGTTCCACAGCAAGATTTATCACCATGATGACCTCTTTGACTGCATCTCTCAGTCTAAACCTACTCTAATGCAAAGAAACAAGGTGTAACAGACCATTTCACACACACAAGTTATGGCACTAAACCAAGGCTATTAGGATTATTTTTGTTAATTATTTTTATCGGGTTGTTTTAATGATTGTTTACTGATAAAGATGCCGATTAATTGTGCAAATGTCAACCAAAATTCAGATGTTTTACATTCACAGTTATATAAAAGAAACTAAAGATCTTCAGATGAAGAAGTCTTCCCAGCAAACGTTCCTTGATAAAATGATTTTACCGCATTAAGTCCTATAATGAAGATAATTCTTCCACTGAATTCCCTCTACTGATCGGACTAAATTTATTTACTAATGCATGTTCGGCAATAGAACTTAACATTCATGGGCAAAGGTTGGACTCCCTGGTATGAAATCTTTATTTTCTATTGTATATATGGACATATGTAATTTGAAAGGTCTGGGCCGAGGGGGAATAAGTGGTAACACATTGTAACCATCCCTATTTAGCTATAGTAATGGAAAACATTAAAGATAAACGTTTACTATAACAACATATATATTTATGCTATAAGGTTTGTCAGAGTATTTGTTAACAATATAACTCCTCTTGGTGTCCACCCAGAAGGAGGATGGTGTAATAAACATATACCTATAAATAACAAAGTACAATACCGTTGAGTATAACATGTCTACATACAGACAGAAGCTGTAATTGTTAAGCAATGGTACAACACTGCGTCCTCATAGCGTTTACACTAGATTATAGTGTTCTAAAGCATGTATAAATGTTTATATAGTGCTACAGATACTAAAACACAGGTTAAAGTTTAAGTGTTACCAAATAGATAATAATGTGCAGCGGCCACACTGGCTTTCATTCACCCATTCACTCCAGCAAAAGCTCCATGAAGGTTGAAACCAACATACGCTTGAAGTTTTAATGAAAAACACATACTGCACCAACAACTCCAACAAATGAGGTTCAATTTATTTATATCATTTTTACATGAAAAGCAACTGTCAGATTAATCCCCAACTGTACTTCCATCACATTTGTAGCTCTGTTATTTCTAGTATTAATGTTTATATTCTTACAGAACACAAAAAGAACTTTCAGACGCAATCGCTACACCCAAATCCGAAATCAACACCCTCCCCCTTCTCAACCTGTCTGTGACATATATGACGCTAACATGGGAGCCAATTTAGTGCAGTTGTGAAACCTGTCACAATAAAAACATACAAAATAAAAACCAACCGGAGTCGATGTACGTCTGTGAATTATATAAGTGTCTGGCTCCTCACCTAAGACACAAGAGACACAATAAGCAGGTGTGCATTGTAGGTAATACGAGGAGGCAGGCGATTGAGGATAAAGTTGACACGGAACAATTTTCACTGGACTGTCGTGTCTTCGAAAAAAACAAAAAACAAAAACAGGAAAATGGTTCAGTTCATAAACAGCTCTCCATAATAAAATTTTACCAAAAGGTGTGTAAAAGGCGGGGGGAATTCCAAGTTTTAACACCTCCAGACGTCTCTCACATGGAAGATTTTAGTGAACAATGATGGTGATACGTGTTTCGTGGAAAATCTGGAAGGGCAGCAACACCGATGGAGGACATCATTCGTTCAGGATCGGAGAAAGGAGAAGGGAAAAAAAAGCAAGTAACGAGGTTGAAATGTTTCAGTACCCTCACGCCCCAGAAAGTGCGACATAAAAAAGGTCCCATATCGTCCAATTTTTTTTTATATTTTTATAACTTTGCCTTAAATATCACCAGGCAAAAACATGTTTCACAATCAATGTTTTAATTAATAGGTAGCTCCATTGATAGAATTCTTCCAAAAAAATAATAACCCTTAGAGCAAACTCTCCACACAAGACTGAGCACTAAATAAAAGGAGTAGAAAAAACACAAAAAAACAGCAAAAAAAGAAAAGACAAA